TCGTAGCTGACGATCGCTTCTCAGGGGGAATTTTTGTTTTATAATATTGAATTAATTTTGCTAGGTAAATGATTTTAGTTTTTTATTTTTTAGCGTTATCCATTTTTTTTTTTTTTTAGTAAGAAAAACCTTCAAATTTAACTTACAATAAATAGTCGGAACAGCCATAAAAAGAGTAAGATCTCGCTCCGGTTTCATCCATCTATTCCAAACTTCGGATGCATCAAACTTTGGCATCATCTCTACCGTTCCCCCTGCATACAGTGTACATGTCAACGCCTTAAGATCAAGAAAGTTAACGATCAGAGTTTCTAGAAATTGAAATTTTCGAACGACAAACACTGGTAAATCGATGCTTGAACCTACGTTAAGGATACCCTAATGAGAAGCAAATTTATATAAGTAGGCGTTAAATTTTCAAAGCCGCCGAGCGATTTTATTACACTTACGTGCAAATGATGTAATGGGAGTACATGTAAAATTTTATCTTTTTCACTATATCTCCAAGCATCAACCAAAGACTTTACTTGAGCCGTAAGATTGGCATGGGTCGACACAACCCCTTTTGGTTTACCTAGCAAAAATACCGACCAATTCAAAGTTATGCTCGTATTCACCATCAGAACACCTATATATTTACCACTCGTCCCACTAGTATAAATGATCATAGCCCGTCTAGAAATATCCATCGGAATAAGACGTGGTGTCTATAGTTAATAGGTGAATACCACTCACGGTTACCGATAAATTCTTAATATTTAAAGATAAATTGGATTTACATTACCTCGAACTCGTGGCTATCATGATGGTCGCACTTTTGAACTTTTCTGTCGATCACCAACAATTTATCGATTCTGGCATCCTTCGCTATGTCTCTCGCCAGTTCATGAAATTCCGGATGAGTGACAAACACTGAAGCTCGAGAATCATTAATATAATAAAGCAGTTCGGGTGGTGGATGTGCCGTACCTAGATGACATTAAGGTCACATTCGAACCTATCCATCATAGAAATAAAAAAGGTTCACAATATCTTACTTAACGGAACCGCAATACCACCGGTCGACCATATTGACCATTGCGCCACTACATATTCATAACCGCTGGGACACAAAAAGACCACTCTTGCTTCATTCAAGTCTCCTCCTACTGCTCCTGATTCCTCTAACAGCCTTTTTCGAAATTTCATTACATCCGATATAAACTGGCGATAAGAATGCCGGGTACCAGCTCGGAAGTCGATAATTGCTTTTTTTTCCGGAACTTGCGACGCTGCATGACCAATCACCTGCTTAAACAATGGCAACGATGGAAGACCTGAAGATGCTACCATCAATGAAAAATTTTCCAAAGAGAACTTAAAAAAAAACAACAACCGTTCTCTGTCACTTACAGTCTCCATTGTTGTAGGAACTATAGGATCTTCCGTTAACAAACAAACTTTTGCGTGTTCCTAAATGAACTAGTAGTCGACTTTTGCGCATTTTCGAAAAAAAAGGAGGTGAGTTTAGTTGAATAGTAAATGCTAAATATAGATGTTTTCGCACAGCCACCTTTAACGGTGAGTTTTTTTTTTTCCGACCATGGACGATCTTTTTTTTTTCATTGTTCTTTTTTTTTTGGCGCGGACTCCGCTTTCCTCTTATTATGATCTCGTGATTCTTTGTGTTAATCAAATGACATCTTCATAATTAGGCAATTCCTGAACATTCATATAAGTGTGTTGTTCATGGGGTAGTTCTATGTCGGAAAATTGATCCGTAATTCTTAAGGCTAACCTGAACAAGTAAAAGAACCTTCATGTGTTCTTTACATTAGGACATTGCGTGAACGAACTATACTACCTTTGATGAGAATTATTATATGTCAAAGTTCATATTAGCATTACAAGGTACGTTTCTGTGATACACCCTGAAAAGTTTCAAAGCAATTTGTATTCCGGGCTGCAGATATATATTATTTACTTTAACCGTAGATGGGGTCTTCATCATTCCTCACAATCCTTCTAACATTTCGAAATCTAACCTTTACAGTACTAGGAACCTGGCAATGAAAGAGGCTATATCGTTACTTTCGTAACCGGCGGTGGACATTAATAATGCAATCTCTCTTTACACAGTAGGCATGCATCTCATCTTCATTTGTTCAATGCGAAACCTACTGAAACCACTTTTGGTGTGGTTTATGTGGTTTGTGTGATTTGAAAAGAAAAAAATGTTGAATTCAACAAAGAAAAGATTATGGAAAAAATATTCTCTTTAGAAGAGCTATCTCATGGGTGTTTCAATTACACTTTGTTTTAAACCTATTAATAGATTTCATTTTAATATTATTTACAGGGGTTTTTATGGTCTAAATTTAGAATCGGAATTCGCTTTGTCTTTTTTCTTCGTAATAAGAGCACATGGCTTCATTTACCGAATTCTGGAATGAACCTTGAAAAGGTATAAAGGCAAAAAACAACATAAAAACCCGTTGTTGGTAAAATACGGTTTTTACAAATTATTCACTTTTCAAAAATGAATAACAGTACTCCTCACCATAACCGATCCATTTCTCGCAGAAGAAGAACCAGATCGAGAATTATTAACGGCCCGCTAAATCCCGTCATTTACTGTCATTATGCAAGAAGACCAAGACAACGGATCATTCGAGGGCATTATCGAATGACGGTCCGTAATATCGGTACATTTCGAATAAGAAATGCAATCTTTCATGGATTGCGTTGCGGAAACTGTCAGTACTGTGAACAGGTGCAACGAATTTCCCAAGCGCTAAACGCACAAGAGATAACTTGGATGTTGAATGGCGGTCCATTTTAACGGTTAGAATGCTGTCATCTCCAAAATTTTTTAAGATTACCTAGACAATCATAAGCGTTTAAGAAAACCTATTGCGGCATTTGAAGTTTTGAGGAGTTCTAATACGCAGATGACCGAATGACTATTTTGGACGCTTGCAGGGAACGATGAGATCCCTATCAGAATTAAAAAAATCATAATATAATTATTAAACACAGATCTGCTACATATTCAACTCAAGCAACTATCTAATAATAGCAAAAAATTATCCTGCAAAAAACCCATCTTTCTTCCAGAACATTTGGTATAAAGCAAATGACGAAATCTCCTGGATGAAATTTTAAGTCAATACGAATAGTCTTTCGCATAACTCTATTTGTTCACGCGATAGGATGATGAAAAAACAGTATCAGAAAAATTTTTTATAATATTGGAGGAAGCGAAATATAATTTATAGAAACTTTTCTGGTAACCAAGGAGAATATTAGTTTTGCAGAAATGGGCTCTTTCTAAAAAAAAAATATACAAACAAGATATAAGTATATGAGACTTTTTTTATATGCTCTAATGTGAATTAATATAAGTTTTTTATGTTATTATAACCTATAAATTTATAGACTTTATTTTTTTTAATTATTTTTTTTTACTACATCAATTAGAATTTCTATAGACTTATTAAGACATATATAGAGTCACTTTCATTTTTCAAGACAACTTCACATCTAACGTAATCATTCCATGCATTAATTATATTCTTGTTTTCGTTGCCGATTCCTTTTTTTTTCAAAATCCATTATTTATGATATATTACAACATAGAATAGATCTCACAAAGTTTGGCATCATATTTCAAATATTCCTTATCATAATAAATTCTTTTATGCATAACAAGAGGTCAAATCAATTTTTGGTTTTTGGTTTTAATGAACTTTTGGTAAAGAGTGCAAGCTTGATCTTTTGTAAGTTTCTTTATACCATAAATTTAATATATATTTACTGTATATTATTGTTATTAATGAAACTTTTCTAACAAAAAAAATTTAAAAAATATAAAAACTATTGATAACAATGTTTGTTTTATTTTATACTTATGCACTAATCTATAAATTATTTTATTTTATAATTATTTTATTTATTTTTAAATTGTAATCATATGTTTATAATATAATGTAAAATAAGGTTTTGTAAGTTAACAAAAATAAATTAATTAATTAATTGTTTTATTTAGTACATTTGTAAATCTTAAATCACAAAATAAAAATCTTCCATTCAATTTTTAAAACAAAAGTTAATTTAAAAAAATTATTTTGTTTTAAATAATATATGAATTTTTGTTTTTTGTTTTATATAATTTGTTTATTTTTCAAATATTCCAAATATTTAATTATTTATAATTTAAATTAAATATTAAGTAATAATAAATAGAATTATTGATTCAATATTTTATATATCAAATAAGATATACAGTATATACTGTATATATATTTATTTAATTTTTATTAATATATAAATTTTTGAAATTATATTTGTTTTTGATTTTTTTTTATAAATCCAAAAAATAAAAGTTACATTAGTTGAAATTTGATTATTCAACATGTTGAATTATTGTCAAATTTTTAAATTTTTATAAATAAATTTAAGCTGAATTTATGTTATTTGGTATTATTTGGCATGAAATAAAACATAAATATTTATTAAACAAATAAAAATAATTCAATTATAATATTCTAGCATTCAACAATAAATAAATAAATAAATATAATACAAATATTTGATAGATAACTTAATCATAATTTAACATATTTTAAGTTTAAAAATTTGATGAATTTTCATATATACAGTATATTAACAAATAATTTTATTATTTAGAAAATAAAAATAATTAATAAAATTTGATAATTATTTGTAATTATAATTGATAAAAAGTTTATTAAAATATAATAATAAAATAATATAATTTGAATATAACAAAAAATTGTTCATATAAATTAAATTATTCATTATTATCTATTCTTTTTTTTTTTTTCTATTTCTTTTTCTTTCTCTTAATTGATTTGATTTTGAAAAATCTTTAAAATTTGCTATTTTGTATTCTTTCTTTTTCTTTTTTCAGTTATTTTTTTCTTGCTAATTTTTATACCTTCTACTGATTTTGTCTTAATAATTGTTACTTTGATTTTATTTATTATTACACTTTCTTCAGTTTGATACTTTTCTAAATATATTAATAATTCTTTAGCAACCTTTTATTTTTATATTTTTTTATTGATTCTTTAGCTTCTTCTTCCAAATAATAAATCCAATTTGGCAAATTTTTTGATAATGTTATATAATAATAAGTCTCAGTCTTATAATTTCTCTTACGAATCATTTTTGTATATTGAATTGACTTTGAATATTTGTTTAAAACTTCTTTTAACAAGTTAGTCAACTATATAATAAATAAATATTCAGCATATAAATATTTGATAAATAAATATTTAACTTTAATAATATTTAAATACCTTATAAAAATATCAATTATAATTGTATATAACTAAAGATGGGTCCCTAAAGTATTTAGCATATAAAATTTACGTCCCTTTACGTCCACGTCCTCTAGAGGACATAAT